CAATTGGAGCTCTTGCCATACCAATCATGCAGTACAGCTTTGGTATAATCAATTGGACATTGGATGACATAAGACAAATGGATCGCAAAACAAGAAAACTAATGACAACACATAATATCCTTCATCCCAAAGCAGACATCGACAGATTATACGTGCCACGAAAGAAAGGGGGACGAGGACTAAAGCAAATAGAAGAAACGTACAACAATACTATCTTCTCAATAGGGCAATATATTCAAACTAGATCTGAGCAAGACCGCCTACTACAGATGTTACTAGCACATGACAATAGGAAACCAACAAATAGATCTATTGTAAAGCGTAGTAATAAGATCAAATTAGAAGCTGCGGAAACCGGACATACGGTCGAGCGAGGTAACAGGTCCATCAAACTGTACTTGAAGCAATGTGTCGAAGAGAAATGGCGGAGTAAGCCTCTACACGGACAGCATATCCGTCAAATGGAGGAGCTTCCGGTTGACTTAAACTGTCATTTGGATGGTTACAATACGGAGATTTAAAAGGGGAAACCGAAAGCTTGCTGGTGGCAGCACAAGACCAAGCCTTGAAAACGCGTTACATTGAGCAAGCAATACACAAGACGAGGAATGACGGTAAATGCAGATTGTGTCACATTCATAATGAAACTGTTGAACATATAATATCTGCATGTCCAATACTAGCGCCAAAAGAATATACTGACAGGCACAATAATGTCTGCGCAGCCATCCATCTAGAAGCGTCTCGCCACCTTGGTTGTCCAATAAAATCGACGAAATGGTATGAGCATCACCCCGACAGGATAACACGAAGTGAAGATGGTAGTATCACAATAATGTATGACCATCCCGTTATCACGGATAGAGAAATAAAGCAAACAGACCAGATATTGTTATAAAAACCACCGAAATATGCTATATAATTGATATATCGGTACCTGCAGATAGACATGTCATACAAAAGGAGGCTGAAAAGCAACTAAAATACAAATCATTACTCATAGAAGTGCAAAGAATGTGGCATACAAAGGCAGTTGTTATTTCCGTAGTGATTGGTTCAACTGGATATGTCACTCGCAACATCCTAGATAACCTAAAAGGATACCAGGAGATCATAATTTCTATCAGTTACAGAAGATCGCCTTATTAGGCACATCGCACATAATTAGGAAAGTTATAACATAGCCAGCTCATAAACTGCAATGATCTGTACCCCTCAGGTCCTCGGCGAGGACCCGGTGTAGAGGTCAAACCGTTCCATATAGGATACCGCTACTAATAGAAAACGGTCCTGTAGCGTGAAAAAAAAAGATAATAATAATAATAATAATAATTATCATAATAATAATCGGAGCCTCAGGAGAAATACCTAAGAGTCTACATAAATATATTGAGAACTAAATCTACCGCAGAAACTATACCTCTCACTTCAGAAAGCTGCCATCTTAGGTAGTTGTCATATAGCAGGCAAGGTCCTGAATGTAGCCACATAGACAAAGAGAAACCAATAGTCACACTCAGACGCTTGCAGTATAATGCCGCGTTGAGGATATCACCTGCAGTAGCAGAGAATAGATAATAGAAAATGGGATAATAATAATAATAATAGTAATTATAACAATCATAATAATAATAATAATTATAATAATAATTATAATATTTATAATAATAATAATAATCATAATAATAATAATTATAATTATAATTATAATAATAATATAATAATTATAATGATAATAGTTATAATTATAATAATCATAATAATAATAATTATTATTATAATAATAATAACAATAATAATAATAATAATAATAATAATGATACTAATAATAATAATAATAATAGGGAAGTCGTGGCTGCAAAGAGCAACTTACAATAGATACAATCATCACGGAGGAAGCAAAGGGCTGTAAAAAAGATCTGTATGTTGCATACATTGACTATAAAAAGGCCTTTGACAGTGTTCCTCACTCTCTATTAATTGAAATGCTCCAAATATATAAAATCAGCCCTAGTATAGTGAGATTGCTACAAAACCTTATGCCTGAAATGGAAAACTAATCTTGTAATAACCCATAAAGAAGAAATATCAACATCGGTGCAATCAGCATTAAAAGAGGTATCTTCCAGGGAGATGCACTAAGTGCTTTATGGTACTGTATTTATATTAGCACCTCTATCTAGAATGCTGCACAAGAGAACGAAGGTTATAAGCTTCAGAACAACCTACAAATAAGCCATCTAGCTTACATGGATGACATCAAAACTAATATCTGCCACTAAAGATGGACTGGACAGGTTGCTTAAACCATAAAGAGATACAGTGCTGACACAAGAATGGAGTTTGGCCTGGACAAGTGTAAGATTGGGGCTATTAGAAAAGGCATATGGGAAGATCACCCAGGGTTTATGTTGGAGCACGGTCAGACAATAAGAAGCATGTCTGAGAAAGAGAGTTATACATATGTGGGATTAGATCAAAACAAGGGGTATCAAACATAAAGATATGAAAGAAGCTCTAAAGGAAGATTAACGAGTAGGGTCAAATCAATACTTAAGACTCATCTGTCCCGCAATACACAAAGTAAGGGCATTAACACATATGCTATTCCGACAATAAATATAGCTTCGGAATAATCAAGTGGACAGACTCTGACTTAGAGCAGCTAAACAGAAACATAGAGTCTTATTTACAAATCATAGAGCAAGACATCCCAAGAGTTCGATCGAAGATTTTACTTGCCAAGATCCAAAGGAGGACGAGGCGTGATTGACCTTAAAGCAGCTAACCTGCGGAATTAGAAAACCTCAGGAGATTCTTTTATAGAAAAGGCGAACATCTGCATATCACAGAAATATAGCTTCAGCTGACTACAAGTTGACACCACTGAACCTGTCAGATGAACAGTATGAACCTCTAACCATGTGACCACCGACGAACAATGGTATCATCAATGGAAGTCGAAACAGCTTTCATGGAAGACATCCAGCCATGCTCAGCTCAGATCACATTGATGCAGAAGCGTCACATGGATGCTGAAGAGTGGGGAACTATTTTCGGAAACTGAAGGTTTCATGATTGGCATTCAAGATCAGGTGATACCAACCTTAAACTATAGAAAATACATCATGAAAGAAGAAGGCATTGAAGATAGATTTCGTATATGCCATAAGAAGTCGGAAACAATAGAGCATATCCTGACGAGCTGCACTCCCCTAGCTTTCCACTGAGTATCTGAAGCGCCACGACAACGTGGCTAAAATAGTTCACCAAGAAATTTGTTATGCTGCGAACATACTAACTGACCGCACCCCATATTACAGTACCAGCCGACTCCAGTTATAGAAACTAACAGCCATAAAATATACTGGAATAGAACAATTCAAACAGATCACACCATGGAATACAACAAACCAGATATCGTAGTTCAAGATAAAATGAAGCAAGTAACCTGCATAATTGGACATTAGTGTGGCCTGCCCCACATAACATAGCTGAGAAGCAGACAGAAAAAGTTCGCAAGTACTTACCACTAGCTGCAGAAGTAAAAACACTGTGGAATCAAGAAAATGTTGAAGTCATCCCAATAGTGATCGAGCCGACAGGAGAATACCTAAGAGTCTACATAAATATATTGAGAAACTAAATCTGCCGCAGAAACTATACCTCTCACTTCAGAAAGCTGCCATTTTAGGTAGTTGACATATAGCACGCAAGGTCCTGAATGTAGCCACATAGACAAAGAGAAACCAATAGTCACACTCAGATGCTTGCAGTATAATGCGCGTTTAGGATACCACCTGCAGTAGCAGAGAATAGCTAATAGAAACGGAATAATAATAATAATAATTATAATAATAAAAATAATAATAATTATAATAATAATAATAGTAATAGCTATAATAATAATAATAATAATAGGCTAACAAGGAATGCATTTTTGTCCACAATTCTTTCGTTGTCTTTGTCCTCCTTTATGGCACAAATAACGATGAGCCACAGTCAAAGCCAACTTAGCACGTGTTCTTGCGTCCAATAACCTAGCTTCAGCATCAGTTCCTGTCTTGCTTTATAAACTGTTCTGCGCCTTCCAAAACTAGCAAGTTCTCGATCGCCCAATCTTCGAAGTTTTTCGCGTCCTTTAGCTTCGGAACATTTGCAAGGTAGCTGGAACTCATTTTTGTTTGCACACGCGGAATTTAACTATAAAACGACAAGAATTTCACTTTTTTTTGTTACACTCGGATGTGGCCCATAACCTGTAGTGATACGTGGCTTAGTGGAAGGATTGGACTATCCAGATAAGTTTTCCACAAGTAAAGTTAACTGTAACGTATGTTGTGAAGGAAAAATGGCAAGGCTACCATTTTCAACAGGCTCACGTGCACAGGAAGTTCTAGATGTTGTGCATACAGACATATGTGGTCCTATGGAGAACAAATCGATTTGGTAGTGCACGATACTTTGTGCTATTTATTGACGATTATATGCAGAATGACCTTCATCTAAATTTATGAAAGCAAGGAGTGAGGTGTTAAGCTATTTTAAACAATTCAAGTCAATGGCAGAAAACTTTCAAGACAGAAAATCAAATCTTGCGGTCAGACAATGGTTGTGAGTACTGCAGCAATGATTTTGAAAATTTTCTTAAGGAAGAGGGTATCATACACCAAAAGACAAATCCATACACACCAGAACAGAACGGACTCAGTGAGAGGTTCAATCGTACTATAGTAGAGAGAGCAAAATGCTTACTTTTCGAAGCTGATCTTGAGAAGAAGTTCTGGGCAGAGGCTGCCAATACAGCTGTCTATTTGAAGAACCGATCAGTAGCTTCAGGTACAGAAAAGACTCCATATGAAGCATGGACCAGTAAGAAACCAAACTTAGCCCACATACGTATATTTGGAAGTACCGTAATGGCACATATTCCAAAGAAAAAAGGACCAAATGGGATAAGAAGTCTAGGAAACATATACTAGTTGGTTTCTGTGATGATGATGAATGTCAAGGGTTATAGAATTTATGATCCAGTGAAGAATATTGTAACAACCAGTATAGACGTTGTGATCACAGAGAAGCCAAAGAAGAATGAGATAGCCACCATACCTACAGGGACCACAGATTCAGTGGGGGATTTGAAGAAGGAATCTGAGGTTGAATTTGAGCAGTCTGAACAGTCAAGCTCTAGTGACTCAGAATACCTGGATGGCCAGGATGGCGAAGATGAAAACTGGCAAGCAGGAAGTATCAGAGACAGAGAAGGAAGAAGCTACATAGTTGGTGAAGAAGAAGAAGCTCCGTCAGTATCAGATATACCAGAGTCACCACAGATTGTAGATAGAGAAAAGAGACGAAGGAGAGGCCCTTCTAGATATGGTATTGTCAATATGTGTTACTACTTCCATAGCAGAGGATGAAATGACATATGCAGAGGCTATCAGTTGTCATGAAAAAGAACAATGGCTACAAGCATGGCAGAGGAGCTGCAGTCGTTCGAGGATATGAGGTATGGGAAGTTGTTGACACTCCAGACAATGCTAGTGTAGTGCAGTGCAATGGGTATTGAAAAGAATTAGATTGTGACAATAAAGTGAGGTATCGTGCACGACTCGTAGCCAAAGGTTTTACACAGCAACAAGGGTGTAGATTATCAGGAAATTTTTTCTCCAGTGATTAGGCATTCAACCTTGCGCTTACTATTTGCTTTGATTGTGCAACTAGGAATGGAAAATAACTCATTAGATGTCACACAGCATTTCTTAATGGTTATTTAAAAGAAAATATTTTTATGCATTTGCCAGAAGGTTTTCCTATCAAAAATTCAAACAAAGTGCTAAATTAAAAAAGGCTATCTATGGATTAAAGCAATCATCTCTTGCTTGGTATCAAAGAGTAGATGAAACTTTGTGTAATTTAGGGTTCAGTAAGAGCAATCTAGAGCCTTGTGTGTTTATAAAAAATCATAGTAAAAATAAGAAAACTATTGTTGGAGTTTATGTTGATGACTTTATAATATTTTCGAATAATAAGCTTGAAACTGATACTTTAATAGAAGCTTTAAGTCTAGAGATTTAAAATAAAAGATCTAGGTCAAGTCAAACGATATCTAGGTATGAGAATTTGCATAGATAAAATTCAAATTTAATAACTGTAGATCAAGAGAGTTATATTGAACAATTGCGTGAGAAATTTGACATGATTGAGAGTAATATGGCTAATACTCCATAGAATGTAAATTAAATATAGAGAGGTCAGATATTTGTGAATATAAGTTTTCCATATCAAAAAGTTAATTCGTAGTTTAATGTACTTAGCAGTCTTAACTCGACCAGATATTGCTTACTCAGTCAGTTCTCTCAGTCAATTCAATAATTGTTATTCAAAAACTCACTGGAATCATGCTAAACGAATTTGAAATATTTGTTGAAAACTAAACATTATTTGAGATATTCTCAAGGAACCCAGATTTAGAAGGTTTCGTAGATGCAGATTGGGCCAGTGATGCCAATGACAGACGTTCATACACAGGTTTTTGTTTTATGAATCTGGATCTGCTATTTCTTGGGAAAGTAAGAAGCAAGGACAGTTGCATTAAATAGTTGTGAGGCCGAAATTTATGGCTATGTCAGAAGCTTCTCGTGAAGCAATTTATTTACAAAACTTAGAAGCATGAATTGTCTGGTTATCATAATGATAATTGTACTGTATAATGATATATCAGAGTGCATTAAAGCTGGCAAATAATCGTTAGTCACCATAAACGCTCGAAACACATTGATGTGCGATATCATTTCATCCGTGATGTAATTAATAATAATATAGTTGAAGTAAAATATTTGCCAACTTCTAACATGCCTGCTGACTATACTAACTAAAGGATTATCAGGTGTAAAACACTATAAGTTCATGAAAACACTTGGAATAGTTGAAAAGTAAATGTATTGAGTTATATGTGCAATCAAAATGTAAACAGAATTTTTTAGTTTATTGGAATTTTTTGATATCGTGGGGGGTGTTGTGATTGATATCAAAAATGTAAATGATTGCGCATCTAGCGTCACCAATGTGACACTCTGTAATCATGCTGTGCCTTTCTTAAATAAATCAGTCTTTGGTTAACTGCCAACTCGTGCGTTTCACTACAATAATAATAATATTAATAATAATAACAATCATAGTATAATAATCATTATAATAATAATAGTAATAATAATAATAATAAAATAATAATTATAATAATATATTAAAATAATATTAATAATAATAATTATAATAACAAATAATATTTAATAATAATCATTATAATAATATACTAATAATAATTATAACAATCATAATAATAATAATATAATAATTATATTATAATAATAATAATAATAGTAATAATAATTATAATATTATATAATAATAATAATTATAATAATAATAATCATAATATTAATTATAATAATAATAATAGTAATATATTAATAATAATATAATAACAATCATAATAATAATAATTAAATAATTAATTATAATGATAATAATAATTATAATAATTAATAATAATAATAATAAAAACGCTAATAGAGAAGATAGAGGTAATGAAACAACAAATCTCGGCCACTGCTCAGAGACTCAGAAGGTACAAGGATCGACAAGAGCAGCACAAGCAAAATAGTCTCTTTAATGTCAATCCCAAAGCATTTTATAGGGAGCTGCGAGAAGGAAAAAGGGAACCATTGAAGCTCCAGCCATCTCTACAACTGAAACGTATTGGAAAAGTATTTTCGAGAAAGTGTTAACCACACGCGCAAAGTGGCTGAAAAAAGGTAGAAAGGGATAGAGCCACAACTATGCTGGCAAAATATCAGTGTCGTGGAAGTCAGATCAGCACTGCAGCAGGCCCAAAATTGGAAGCCCCTGGTATAGACCAGATACCTAATTTCTGGCTGAAACATCTAGTGTCTACACACGAAACAATAACAATGATATATAATAGTTACTTCGATAACGGAACAGATATCCCGAACTGGCTGCCAAAGGGTAAAACATACCTTCTTCCAAAGTCTGGAGATAGTAGGACCCCAAAAATTACAGGCCTATCACCTGTCTGAACACCTTGTACAAATTGTTAACTAAAGTAGTAGCCAGCAGAATATCTGATTATGTAAATGATAATATAATACCAACTGAACAAAAAGGCTGTGGCAAGGGCTCTTTTGGTTGCAAGGATCAGCTACTCCTCTCGAAAGCCATTGTAGAAGATTGTAAAGAGAACAAAAAAAATCTTAGCATTGGATGGATTGATTATAGAAAGGCATTCGACAGCGTCCCGCACAGCTGGCTCCTGAAATCTCTGAAGCTTATAGGAACATCTGAGAAGATCATTGATCTATGTAAGCGATTGATTTCGCTATGGAGTACTACCCTGTTAGTCAGTAATAATGGGGAAGAAATAGAGTTAGGACCCATACAGATAAAAAGAGGTATATATCAAGGTGATACCTTGTCACCTCTTCTGTTTGTGATTGCGATGGTTCCTTTAAGTACGCTGCTCAACGAGGCCAACCTAGGTTACCAAATTAAAGGAGCAAATGATTGTCTCTCTCATTTGCTATTATGGATGACCTGAAGCTCATATCTCCCAGCCAAAACAAACTGAAAACGTCTCTCAATATTGTAAAAAAATTTAGCGACGACATACAGATGAGCTTCGGTCTCGATAAGTGCGCTGTAGTCACATTCAGGAGAGGAATGCATTATGACTCTGCTAATATAATAGTTGATGAAGGACAGACGATCAAATCACTAGAACATGACGGAGTGTACAAGTACCTGAGAATTAAAGAAGGCCCACACATCACCCACGATTCACTGAAAGTTGATATTAGACATGAGTATATAACGAGAGTACGTAAAATTCTGCAAACTCAACTCACGTCTAGAAACAAGATAACAGCAATTGGAGCTCTTGCCATACCAATCATGCAGTACAGCTTTGGTATAATCAATTGGACATTGGATGACATAAGACAAATGGATCGCAAAACAAGAAAACTAATGACAACACATAATATCCTTCATCCCAAAGCAGACATCGATAGATTATACGTGCCACGAAAGAAAGGGGGACGAGGACTAAAGCAAATAGAAGAAACGTACAACAATACTATCTTCTCAGTAGGGCAGTATATTCAAACCAGATCTGAGCAAGACCGCCTACTACAGATGTTACTAGCACATGACAATAGGAAACCAACAAATAGATCTATTGTAAAGCGTAGTAATAAGATCAAATTAGAAGCTGCGGAAACCGGACATACGGTCGAGCGAGGTAACAGGTCCATCAAACTGTACTTGAAGCAATGTGTCGAAGAGAAATGGCGGAGTAAGCCTCTACACGGACAGCATATCCGTCAAATGGAGGAGCTTCCGGTTGACTTAAACTGTCATTTGGATGGTTACAATACGGAGATTTAAAAGGGGAAACCGAAAGCTTGCTGGTGCAGTGGTGTGCTGCCACCATACACCATACACAAGACGAGGAATGACGGTAAATGCAGATTGTGTCACATTCATAATGAAACTGTTGAACATATAATATCTGCATGTCCAATACTAGCGCCAAAAGAATATACTGACAGGCACAATAATGTCTGCGCAGCCATCCATCTAGAAGCGTCTCGCCACCTTGGTTGTCCAATAAAATCGACGAAATGGTATGAGCATCACCCCGACAGAATAACACAAGTGAAGATGGTAGTATCACAATAATGTATGACCATCCCGTTATCACGGATAGAGAAATAAAAGCAAACAGAACAGATATTGTTATAAAAACCACCGAATGTGCTATATAATTGATATATCGGTACCTGCAGATAGACATGTCATACAAAAGGAGGCTGAAAAGCAACTAAAATACAAATCATTACTCATAGAAGTGCAAAGAATGAGGCATACAAAGGCAGTTGTTATTCCCGTAGTGATTGGTTCAACTGGATGTCACTCGCAACATCCTAGATAACCTAAAAAGGATACCAGGAGATCATAATTTCTATCAGTTACAGAAGATCGCCTTATTAGGCACATCGCACATAATTAGGAAAGTTATAACATAACCAGCTCATAAACTACAAAGATCTGTGCCCCTCAGGTCCTCGGCGAGGACCCGGTGTAGAGGTCAAACCGTTCCATATAAGATACCGCTACTAATAGACAACGGTCCTGTAGCGTGAAAAAAAAATAATAATAATAAAATAATATAATTATAATATACTAATAATAATAATAATATATAGTTATAATAATAATCATAATAATAATAATAATAATATTAATTATATAAAATAATAATTATATAATAATAATCATAATAATTATAATAATAATAATAATAATATAAATAATAATTAATGCAGCTGTTGCAACA